GAGAACACTTTGTTCCATCAGTTTCAAATACTAGACATATATTGACACATGAAGTTAATGAGCCACATTATCTCTATCTATTAATTCAATTCTGTCCTGTGCTGAATGGAAGGGAAATCCATTGATGCTCAGTCAGAAAATCCAGTGGTCTGTACCTTTCTATTTTTCTTGAACATCTCAGCTTCCACAAAGTTCTCAGTATATCAGTTTGTCCATGACTCCGTTTTAGGAGCATGAGCTTCGACGTTGACTGATGGTTATTCTTTCTTTGGGTAAAGCTGTCAGAAAGTCAGAGCATGTTCATTTATTTTGGATAAATGTGCTTAAGCGCAGCATCAGCCAGAGCGATCCCTCACGCCGGGGTGTACAGTACAGTAAAGGATTCAGTTACCTGCATAGCTGTGTGGGGTGTGTTTCTAACACAGCCTAGATCTGGCAAGTGTCTTACAAAGGAGCGGTCCAGATGGATATTTACCAAGCTCGTGGATAGATTGGCACCCGCAAATCCATCATTTCCTCCCTGTTGGAGGTCATGCCATCCAGGGAAACCATGTTGATGAATTCTGTCATCAATTAGACACCTAAAATTCACTGGTACCTAACACCAGTCCTCAGTGCTCTACAGAATCTGTGAAGAGAAACCCGTAAAGGTTTAGTCTCTGTTAAATGTTCTGTGGAAAGATATTTTTACAGAATATGTGTCATTTATAAACTGTGTTCTGGTAATGGTGGCCAAATTGCTGTTAGTGATATTTTTAATAACTGTTCCGTAGTTTACCCAAGTAATCATATTTAAAGGTGCGTTTTTCCACATTTCCTTCATTCTCTAATGACGTTCTAATGAAATATGCTGGAAAATCAACATTATAGAAACTACAGCGACATCTAGCGGCACATATATTTATTGCCATGTAAACACGTCGTCTATGTTGATCTCGACAGTAAAGGTTGAAATTAATATGAAAAGCGATTATTAATATTGTTTTGTAGCGACTTTGTCTGACAACAGACAAAATCTTATGAGGTTTGAATTTATTTATCTTTACATACAAATGTATAGGATGTTTTATATTTTCATCAGTGACAATTAAATTAAATTAAACTACAAATAATATACTGAACCAGCGAAAACACTTCAGTGAATATTTTATGCTCATGAGCTAGCAATGACGTTTTTTCTATCTCCCTTTTCTGTTTGACGTCATGACCTGGTTTATCACCTGTACATCACGAACTATATGAGTTTGTTCTCATCACTTGCTGCACAGGTGACGAAGACTATCCTACGTTTATTATGACAGATTTCACCCACCGTTCTTTGCAATACTAAGTAGTTCACAACCTCTGTTGTGGAGGAAGTTACTATATATGCACGGACAATTACACTGTACCCAAAATAAACGTGAGAAGTTCCCTCTTACGCACAAATAGAGTTATAATAGCAAACATGATTCAATGCCTTGTTTGTATATTCATTAGCTGAGAGAACGTCTGAAAGGATATCTGAATATTTTTCACGTAGATTACATCTGTATCGTCACTAACTACCTTGCATCCATTGTGTATGCTGCATGCATGTTCCTGTTTTCATGTAGAGTTTCTAATTTAAAGGCATCGCGTGCCAGGGAGAAATCTATATTTAAAGGGCTATCCGCTGCATATCAGGTCAACTAAGGGCACACTTTTACTGAATATAAAAATTCAGCAACAATACTGAACATTCAATCAAAAAATTAAGGAATTCAAAATATATACATCCTGAACGTGAAATTATTAACATCACGCACATATTGGGCAAATGCTTAAGAGCTTTCAGAATTACAGATTTCTAAAAATTTCCTAGACATTTTTTTGTGCAGTTTTCTGTAGACACCCACTGCTCTCCCACTCATCAGGAGAGGAACAGGGCAGTGTTTGTGTGCCCTGACAGTACCTGTCTTTATCCCCGTGCACTCCGGAGACCACAGCCGTGCTGACACTGAATACAGCCGGCACCAGTGATCTCATGCAGAAACGTTCTCTCAGACTGGAGAGGCCGTTAACAAAAACTTGTGTTGACGCTGAATTTTGGAGCCAGACATCTAGCTGTCTGAAAATACTACCTGGTTCTAATGTCAGCTAGAGAAATACTTAGTACGAGTGCTGCTTAATGTTTATGATGGCCTACAATGTCATAAAAATATACGTAGAATATTTGACTGATTGAGAAATTAGACTGCCTTTATAAACAGGCAGAAACACATTTTTATTTTGCTGTCCTGAGCTAATTCATAGTAAGGTCCCATGCATGTCTAGGTTTACCATTTAATTCTTTCTCACATTCCTTTTTGGCTACATTTTTACATTTTACTTATTTTGCAGATGCTTTTATCCAAAGTAACATACATTCTGAGAAATCAAGGTTAGGTGATCCCTAGAGCGATTGGGTTTAAGAGTCTCGCTCAAGGGCCAAATGGTGAAGTTACACTGCTAACCCTGGGGTTTGAACCAGCAATCTTCTGATCACAGGCACAGAGTCCTGATGGAAGGTAGGGGAAGGAAATAGAAAAAAACGTAACCACAGGACATCTAATATCATTATGTAGTATTGTCATACAGAATATCAGCCCAACAAACTGTTAACAAAAACACTGTTAACAAATATCACGGTGATGATGCACAATTTCGAAGTGGGTATTAATGAGAAATGTTTAAATAAGAAACAGGCACAACTTACTGTTGCATGTTTTAAATGTTAAAGTCCAATGTTGGCAGGTTTCTGTGTTTTGTAGTTTTCTTGCTGATCTGTCTTACTAGTGCTTAAAATAATATAATTGAATTATAAAATAACAGCATTGAATCACATCATTTGCCCCTTATCCAACTCTCACTTTAATAGTTCTCATTGTAGTGTATTAAATCTTGTGAATGACAGTGATTGACAGCACATGAGGATCCCAACCACTATTTTCAAATACCCATTCCTCACAGTACCACTGGTATAGAATCATCTGTACTGTACTATACACTTTTACCACTTATTTAGTAGATGGTCATTATAAAAGTATATCATTCCACTTTCAACCATACTGTACCACCATATATAGTTATATACACTATACGGACAAAGATACAGGGACACACCTCTCAGTCATTGAATTTAGGTGTTTCATTCAGACTCATGGCAACAGGTGTATAAAATCAAGCACCGAGCCATGCAGTCAGGTTTACAAACATTTGTGAAAGAATGGGTCATTCTGAAGAGCTCAGTGAAATCAAGCATGGTGCTGTCATAGGATGTCACCTTTGCAATAAGTCTGTATGTGAAATTTCTTCCCTGCTAGATATTCCGTGGGCAACTCTAGGTGGTATTATTGCAAAGTGGAAGCGTTTAAGAACAACAGATATTCAGTGGCAAAGTGACAGACCGCATAAAGTAACAGAATGGGATCGCCAAGTGCCAAGGCACACAGTGCGTGAAAGTCGTCAACGCTCTGTTGACTAAATAACTGCAGAGTTCCAAACTTCCTCTGGCAATAACCACAGCACAACTGTGCACTGGCAGATTCATGGAATGGGCTTTCATGGCCGAGCAGCTGCTTGCAAGCCTCTCAGTGTCAGATAGAGTGTAAAGCACGCTGCCACTGGACTCTGGAGCAGTGGAAACATGTTCTGTGGAGTGACGAATCACGTTTCTCTCTCTGGCAGCGTGATGGATAAGTCTGGGTGTGGCGGATGCCAGGAGAATTTTACCTGTCTGACTGCATTGTGCCAAGTGTAGTTTTTGATGGGGGGAGGGATAATGGTATGGGGTTGTTTTTCAGGGGTTGGGCTAAGTCCCTTAATTCAGTGACGGGAACTCTTAATGCTTAAGCACACCAAGACATTTTGGGCAATTCTATACTCCAACTTAAATGGAACAGTATGGGGAAGGCCCTATTCTGTTCCAACATGACTGTGCTCCAGTGTACAAAGCAAGACCCAGAAAAACATAATTGGGTGATTGGTTTGGTGTGGAAGAACTTGACTGGCCCACACAGAGCCCTGACCTCGACCCCACCAAACACCTTTGAGATGAACTAGAACAGAGGTTGTGAGCCAGGCCTTCACATCCAACATCTGTGCCTGACCTCACAAATGCTCTTCTGGATGAATGCGCAATAATCTCCACAGACACACTCCAAAGTCTTCCCTGAAGAGTGGCAGCTGTTATAACTGCAAAGGGGGGACCAACTGTTTATTGATATGGATTTAGAATGGGACGTCATAAAAGGTCCTGTAGGTGTAATGGCCTGATGTCCCAATACTTTTGCCCTTAAGTATATTTATCAAGTAATGCAGTTTAAGGGTTTTTCTAAAAGGCAGCAGACTAGCAGCTTGCATCTCAAATTTTCATGATTTTACACACTTCTCTGATTTGATCCGCAGTAAGGTACACAGAAAAAAAATATGTGATGAGAAATTAACTTAACTAACTTGAAAATCTTTATATACACAATGACATATTTAGAAATAAAGCAAATAAGAAGAAAAATACATTTTATTTAAAAAAATTAAAAATATCAAATGGATATCTATACCTGACACTCATCATTTCATCCACCCTTATTCTAAGCTGCTTATCCAAGAGAGGATCACAGCCCTAGAACTCACATGACAATAAAAAAGAGTAAAGGATTATGGTCCTCATACCCACATACCCTGATTATTCCACAGAGCATCTTTGATGTAGACTCACAGATCTACTCACAAATCACTGGAACAGCCTAAATTTTGTATTAAAATGTACATTCAGCCAAGTTGAATGCATTTCTGGAATCCATAAATACATAAAGAATTATGCTTAGGGTGCATATAGCAATCAGAGTTTCATGCAAGGGAAGCCTGATCTCCTAAACACAGCAGTGTGCTCGTGTTTTGTTTCACTTTCATCACTTTGGTTGCCTTTTCTCTTGTTTCTGCAACCACGACAAAAATGTTGGGCTGCGGCGATGGTACGGCTGTGCTGTAATCATCCGGGTATTTACACGTGATCAGACCTATTTCTGTTCCCCGCTGGCATATGAAGAGCCACTTGTGGGTGGCGGCCATGGGAGCCTGAGCTGAAAGAGAAGGTAAATAGGGTTAGGGTTTTTAAGGTAAATAGGGTTAGGGTTTTTAAGGTAAATAGGGTTAGGGTTTTTAANAAGGTAAATAGGGTTAGGGTTTTTAAGGTAAATAGGGTTAGGGTTTTTAAGGTAAATAGGGTTAGGGTTTTTAATCATCAGAAGAAACACATGTTTTTGTGTTGACATTGCTGTTAACATTGTTGTGTGTTACATAACTGAATACTAGAATAACAATTCACTCTGTTGAGATAACTGCTATCTATTTTAAAGGCTATATTGTCTTTGCATGTTTTAATTGGTTTGTTTATGCGTTTCTTCCTACTGTGGATTTTGAAGCAGGAAATTACTTACATACTCAGGCTCAGTCTTGGACGCCATCCACTACCCTGGAATTATAACCACCTTTTGATTTCATTTGGTTCTGAATGGAATCTACCTTTGAAAAGAAAAAAAACACAGTCAGAGAAAAGGATTTTACCTTCAGATGGTTAATGCAAACTATCAGGTGTCACTAATATTTTATCAAATCAAAATTGTTATATATACACATTATATTTGAATGTGCATTTAAATAATAATTTGTCACACAGGTTAACATAATTCGCTTACAGCAGTGAAGCTCAAACTTCAAAACCATGTGTTTGAGAAGCATAAAATGTCAACCACAGCTGCAATTTATCCAAAGGGTTACCAATAATTTAGCTACTGGGAAGCGAGTTAAACCTGAGATGGTTACAAAGTTTCAGGTCTGGCCTGCCTAGTCACCAATGGTCTAGAAAGCATGTGCTTTGAGTTGGTTGAGAGATGGATGGATGTGAGACTTACTGAAAAATCCAAACCCATATCCCCAGACCCCACGTGTGTGGTGTGGATGAAGTTCGTGGGCTCGCCGATCATGGAGCGGTCTATTCGTCGCCTTCTCTTCTGCAAGTCGGAAACGGAAGACACAACATCCGATGACTTCAGAGAGTGAAGTTTCCTTTTTTTTTTATTCTTAAGAAATGTGTAACCTGAGGGAACACTGACAGGCTGGGGCTGTTCTGCGATGCAGCAGCTGAAGCACACCCAAAACTCCGTCATGCTCAAACTGCCTGCCCCGTCACTCCGCTGCCTCTTGAGCTCGCTGCACAGGTGCCGCACAAGTGGGTCCCACCAGTGTCACTAGTGGGGGATGGGGTCCCCCAGACGTCTGCCACCCAACAACTGTCCCACCCTGAGACCAGTGACTGACATACCAATGAATCCTGGAAACCTGTAAGACAGAAAAAATGGACACCGTGCATGGAGCCAGTTACCCGTTTAGTTACCTATAGATACATGACACAAATTCAGCAGATATGACCTACGTAACGTTTCTACACATACCTTTTGTGACTTTGGGGTTATAAATATTTACTCAGTTTTTACAATAAGTACCGGTATGTCTGTGTGACTGTTGCGATTGGCCTCATTCCACTGACAAGCACTTTGTCACTGCCATTTTTCGATAGGGATTCCTATTTCGGGTGTTATATCACCGCTATGGGGTCAGCCCCCTGCAAGGAGTCCATAGCGACGGGCTGACACACGATTCGGGATCACCGAAAATGGAAAGGAACATCTGCGCGTAGCATGAGGGGCTAATAGTGGACACATACGTCAGTAGAGTCGGCCCAATCTCCACGAATGTGTGACGGCCTATCGCCGTGGTGACAGCGGGTAAGAATCTGACACTGCTCCACACTCCCACTCTCAAAATTAGCTGACGCAGGTCCTGAGCTAAACAGAATGATTCGATTAAAGATATTTTTAGTAAAATTTCTGCTTTTTTTGTTTTGTTGTTGTTGCCGTCTTGGGACTACCAGCAGCAGGAATAGGGGTGGACATGGGAATCCTTTCAGCTATTTTGTCATCTGTCAGGCATGAATTTAAACCACTGAGTGGGTACAGATGTCAGAAGCCAGACAGAGAAAAATAAAGCTGATGGAGGAGCGATGACCAAAACACCAACCAGCACATCAAAACAAAGCTCTTCTGTCCAAACACTTTAAATCTGTTTTTCTGACCTGTGAACATTCCATTGGTCTTTTTTTTTGCCAAAATAAAAGTTGGGGCCACTGCAAGAGAAACTGGACAAAACAATGCATTTTTTTTACTATTATTCTTTATGATTTTTACTATTGGTGGAAAATAGCTTCTACAAAAACGAAGATTACAAAGATGAAGTACCAACATTTACACTTGAGAAATCAATTGCCCTGTAACAAAATGATTTTCATTAATTAACATTATTATGGGGAATTAATTTAACCTACTATCTGGATCAATCCAAGCAGCTAAAATGATGTTTTTAAGCATGTGCAGCTGTATACATACAGGCACGCCTGCAGGGGTGCTGTGGGGCATTTGGAACACTGACCAATTGTGCCCTACAGCGGGGTTCCGCAAGCCGGTCCTTTGCGACCCTCAGACGGTCCACATCTTTGCTCCCTCCCAGCTCCTAGCAGGAGCAAAAACATGGACTGTTTGGAAAGATGCTCTCCCCAAGTGGAGGAGTTTAAGTATCTCGGGGTCTTGTTCACAAGTGAGGGAAGGATGGAATGGGAGATCGACAGGCAGATCGGTGCTGCGTCCGCAGTGATGCGGGCGCTGCATCGGTCTGTCATGGTGAAGAAGGAGCTGAGCCAAAAGGCAAAGCTCTCGATTTACCAGTCGATCTACGTTCCTACCCTCACCTATGGGCAGTGACCAAAAGAACAAGATCGCGAGTATAAGCGGCCAAAATGAGTTTTCTCCGCAGGGTGGCTGGGCTCTCCCTTAGAGATAGGGTGAGGAACTCGGTCATTCGGGAGGGACTCAGAGTAGAGCTGCTGCTCCTCCGCATTGAGAGGAGCCAGATGAGGGGGCTCGGGCATCTGATTAGTATGCCTCCTGGACGCCTCCCTGGTGAGGTGTTCCGGGCATGTCCCACTGGGAGGAGGCCCCGGGGAAGACCCAGGACACGCTGGAGGGACTGTGTCTCTTGACTGGCCTGGGAACGCCTCGGGATTCCCCCGGAGGAGCTGGATGAAGTGGCCGGGGAGAGGAAAGTCTGGGTTTCCCTGCTGAGACTGCTGCCCCCGCGACTAGAACTCGGATAAGCAGGAGATAATGGATGGATGGATGTTTGGAAATCCCCCAAATGTCGTACCGATTGGTCTGTAAGCGTTAGTCTGATGGCAGGCTGCAAACACTTTCCTTACAAACAGGAAACCTAGACCACAAATTTTCATTTTCAACCGCACCAGACATCAGCAGCAAAGCGATTTAGGTTAAGATAAAAAGAGACAAACACAATAGGTTCTCATATCAGACACTACAGACACCCCAGAAAACCAGGTTTTTAACTTAATCCGGCACCACAAACAACGCAAGTGCAGCCAAAGCTCTCGTATGGGCTGGAGCGCAAGAAACTATCACAGCCTATTTTACACAGGTAACGTGTCAGAACAGATACACACTTCAGGGAAAAAAAAGAAAAACAAAAGCTTTCACTAATGATGAGACTCACTTCTTGTATTAAAGATTGGCAGGCCAGAGACCCTAGACCAACCGAAAATCCTGAGACTTACAGTCATTTATTCGAAGACAATGAACATTTGAAAGCGGAGACCAGGCACTTCTTATGTAACTTATGTAAATGTTCTCTGTAAGCTTTACATCCTTTCCACCTCAATGCTGATCTGCTCCCCCCAGTGAATGGCTTAAATGTGTAAATATAAGAAATCTAATTCCAAGACCATTTCAATCACACAATACAGCTGAAAGTTTAAAGAACTTCCGTAATAAACGTCTTTAAAAATCAAGTCACTCTACACACAAGGAAAACTACGGCGAGCTTGGTTGTTTACTGAAGGGGTTTAACTTGTTTTCACCAGCCACCCAAGACATGCACAAGTGGCCATTATTGTTTCCGAGTTTCTATTTTCTTAAACTGACCAGTGAGAATACAGTTTGTGCTTTTAGAACATGGACACTGTGCAAACACCCTTATCTCACATTAGATATCAAGCAGGCAGTGCCTTTTTGTGCCAGTGCCTGTCCGAGGTGTTTTTGCTGAGCTTCGTCAGAGAAATTGTCAGCAAACTGGTAGCACGTCTATATATTTTTTAACGGTTTCACAAGTTCGTATCAACCCGAGTGTAGTTCCGGTCCCAACGACACTTAATAACGTCTTAAATGCTTTCCGAAGGTCTCAGCCTAGCAAAAAAAAAGGTAGTGATTCCAAAAATATAGGCTATGAGCATTCCAAATTTAATTAAGTCATTAAAACTTCACGCTTAAGAGTCGGTGTACGGAGAGCTTACATATAATGTCATACCATCTCCTGCCTTGGTGCAAGCAAAATGCCACATTCCCGCGCAATAGTAAAGTCAATAGTGGGGTAGCTAGACTTCTGACAGTGGGGTACCTAGACGCCTGCCTTACGTGGGCCAGCTGTACAGCAGCGGACCTTAAACCGAGTTCCTAAAGGGCGACAGGCACAAGCTGCATAATGGTGATCAGGAAGTCACAGTACTCAGTGGCTTCAACAGCAATTGGCAGTAGCTCGTTATAACCTCCCTTTGGCTAGAGTTCTCCAGACAGGTGGCTACTGTATAAAACAAAGCAATGGATGAAGTTTACATTTCTATTTTTGCTGATTTTTAAAATCCGATTGCACGCCTCATACCAGTCCATTTAAGTAAGATCTGTAATTAAGGTAAAACACACGTACTGTACCTGCTTCCAACTTCCGCGTGATGGCACTCGGTCCTCCTACCGCAACATCCGCTGTGACCTATGGTATTTAAACCTGTCAAAATGTGTCGGAGTGTGTCCACGTTTCAGTTTGTGCTAAAGTGCCATATTATATATGGAACAATTACAATGCATTACACAGTCTTTCTCTTTTTGTACGTGAATTATACATTGCAATTTTAAATGTATTTTGTGTTTTTCTTTTGTGTTTTGATGTTTTAAATGATCCACTTAATCCTAAGTACTAAAGTTCTTCGACCTCAACCCATCTTGATAAATGTCATCGTGAATGTAAAGAGTGTGAGATACTGGGTTTCCGGGTAAAATTTCATACGGACTCTGAGATTGTGTCCTTGATGAAAGTCACGTACGTTAAATGGCTGAGGATTAAGTTATTATCCGTCTATCTACATTATCAGAGAATAAGTTGCACAGATCTCCCCAGTAACGTCTGACGAACGTAGGTGGGTCAAGTGACATATGCTTCTGCGTGTAAAAGTCAAATAAATTAATGATTAAGCTCGTTTTGATCATTTTACTTTTAAGCAGCCGGAGGTCTTTTTTTCCCGAAGACCCTGAGCAGATGAGCGTCCTCTTTTATCTTCTTGTTGTTTATTTATTTTATTTTTTTACACATAATGTGACGTAAAATTATTATTTTATTAAATTATTTTAAATCATAAACACATCCATAGGTAACCTAGAACATGGCACAGGTTTGCATTATGCCGTATCTTGCTTATATGCGTAACTGGTACGTCATGTCCCCGCTTCTACCAAAATGAATTCCTTGTACTTTTTGTACTTGGTGAATATTCTGACTCAACGATGCGCAGCGTTGATCATCTACACTTATACGCATTACCCTTGACATTTCCTCCAGGGGGCAGTATTGTGCAACTTCGGTCTGCAGGTAGTAACGTTCTCTGTTGCAAACAAAGGCATTGATTCATTGTTTTTAATCAGTCACGGACATTGACTTTGCTAATATCTTGAAGTGCATTTTAATCCAAGACGAGTTTGGGTTACCAAAGAAAGCTTTCTATTGTTTTATTCTTGACGGTGTTCCTCTGGCTCCAGACCTCAGAATTCATTGCAGTTTACAGTTATAAGTATCGCACTGAATGGGGCAAACAGAACCTCAAAATGAACTCAGCGTTATTTTCACACGTCTGTCCTTCACATAGATGGTAGCCACAACCTGTGTAATGAAGCTCTGTGATGCCGGACAAGCAGTACTCATGAATGGGCATGTCTGTGTACAATATTTCCTCTCTTAATGACCCATTTTACTGGTTGATTTGCATTTTACATTATAACTGATGGATGGTGTGGTGGTGCAGTGGTTAGCACTGTTGCCTTACACCACTGGGCCCAGGGTCTGAGTCTCCACCATGGCTCTGTGTGTGGAGTTTGCGTCTTCTCCCCATATTGTCATGGGATTTCCTCTGGGTGCTCTTGCTTCCCCCCACAGTCCAAAAACACACTGAAGTTATTAGACTGTCAAATAGTAAATGCTGGGGGTGACTGTGCCCTGCATTGGGTTGGCGTCCCATCCTGGGTCGTTCCCTGCCTTATACTCCAAGATAGGATCTGGACCCCCCGGTATCCGTCTATCTAACCCTAACCCTAACCCTGGATAGGATATGTGGTTACTGAAAATGGATGATTGGCAACTGAAAATCCCACTTATATTACTTTGTACAGACTTAACATTAGTGACTTAAGTGACTGCAGTGAACAACTGGTGAGGCTACTGTCAGGATGTGAGAATAGCATGCTTTTTGTATTCACTGACACAAACACATTACAGCTCTGCATTGATAATAATCACTATGTTATAATTTGGGGGGGGGGAGCAAGCACTAAAACAGTCACAAATAAGAGCATTTTGAGAAACTGGGTGAACTGGACAAAAATATACATAAAATTATGTCACCTTATAATGTGATTGTGTTAAATGAAGGAAAATTTGCACCCATAACATGTTTTCTAAATTACTTCTTTTTTGCGACTATTTCTGAATACAATGCACAAGGAAATTAGTTTTACCAAATTAATTAATGTTTGTGTTTTTTCATAAACTGCAAATTGTGTGAATTTTGCTAATATATACCAACATTTATATGACACTGACCTAGATCTTGCAGGATGATAAAAAAAGTTTTAAAGAAAGGTAGTTATTGTCTGTTGCTAAGTTTAAGGTGCCTTATTTAGCATCGGTTAAGAATGTTGAGTAATGGAGATCATATCATACGGATGTGAGTCCCATATTGTCTTTTTTTGGACTGAAAAACCGTAACTGTGGGCTGTAAACATGGGGCTGTTATTTTGGTTTTAGCCTCAAATGACAGCATCACAGTTTTACTGAAATGCTTCAAAACAAAGAAGAAACTGAGTTAAATTGGCTATAAACAAAAGTTAAACATATAATATGAAGAAATAAAGTACTTTCATGATATTTCCACATAAAAGATCTAACAAGAACAGCAAAAACAACAGTAATAATAATAATAAATTTGATTCCTATAGTACTTTTCAAAAACAATGTATTCTGCTTATTGAAGATTGATCAACAAAAATAGGTTTAAAAAAATCTTGCTCTACTACATATAATATTCAGTACTCCTGCTTCAAATGACTGATATATTGGTTCCTTGCTTATTCGTTTTAAGTCAGTATTAGTCAGCTGACCCGAGTATTGCGGTGGCACAAAAGAGGGAGATCACACTTGTTTGAAAGATGATGTGCTCTTTAAGATCAGCCCTTAAAAGAACCATAGGCAAACAACAACCACCACTCCATTACACATAACGGTGGAACACAAGGAGGTCTGATGCTGGATTGTACGGCACACACATGGTAACAATTTACAAAGGGCATGGAAACACGCGAGTAACTGGCACAGATCTGGCCACACAGAGGCAAACACATTTACATAAACCAAAGACACAGCACAACTATTTACAACAACAATTACACATGGGGCTATTTACACGGCTCTTGAGCATGCTGGGAAATACTAATAGGCTCCGATATGTGGAGGGCACTACACTGCCCCCCCACAAAGTTTGACCATCTTAAGGACCACCATATCCTGTCCCCCCCTCAGCTCTGAAACTAGTCCCAGAGGTCTGGTGGCAGTCACCGGTGCGCCATTTCCAGTGATTGGTTAGCCAGAGGAGACCGAGAAGCTGTCATGCGCTGGTCCTTCACCTTGCACAGCTTGGTGAGGCTTGCTGTCCTTCTTGTTCCTTGGATCAGGTGGCCTTGCGCAGCCGCTTCCTGCAGGCCATCTCCACCCGCAGCTTGTCCAGGGTGCACTGTCCCTTTTCCATGTCTGCCTGCAGCTGCTCCTCATCCTCCTCAATCTGCACCTGCTACTTGCCCAGCTTTAGGTGCTCCTGGGCCAGTTTGGCCTCCAAGGCACGACATGCCTCCTCGCGGCCCAGCAACGCCGCCTCTGCTACCTGGCTGCTGGTTTTGGCTGTCACGCTCGCACTCCCGTCTAGCCGGATCCTCCCGCGGCTGTTCATAGTCCTGCTGGTTCTACTGCTGCTGCTCTTCGAGTTCTGGAAGAGTCTCTGGAAGCTCCCGCCTCTCGTGTCCGCTGACATCGTCTCCAACAGGGGACCGTTGGGCTGTTAGGGGCAGCTTCAGGATGCACTGCAGAGGACCGGGGTGATGCCTACCTCACTGGACTGCTCTCAGCTCGTTTGCTGGCAGCTCTGGTGCGGGCTTCTAGGCAACAGCGGGCCTGGTGCCCCTTCTCCCCATAGCACCAGCAAATAATAGCACCATGCCATCCTGCGCTGGCCTTGCAGCATGGTGGTCGCCACTGCTTCTCCAGTGTCACCCACAGTCCTGCCAGGTTGGAATGGACTTCCAGGGTGATATGCAGGAGGACCAGCTTCAGTAGCACCAGTGGGGCCAATTCTGGTATCTCACTTCTGATACCAGTATAATAACTTGCAGACCCCAGCATAACAATGATAAGAACAAGAAAAACTTTTTTAAGGCAAGAAACTTGTTCTTTAATACCTGCCTTTAAGAAAATCGCACATAAATAACAACCACAGGTCTATGTTGGAATACATCTGACGCTGGACTGTAAGGCACACACATGGTAAATTTTTACAGAGGGCACTGAAACACGCGAGTCACTGGCACAGATCGGGGCACACACTTGGAAGCATTGGGAAACCCATAAACCGAAGCCAACTATTTACAACAACAATTATACACGGGGTAATAAGCCCGGCTATACGCACCCATCTCACTGTCGAAATACATTTAACTTAAAAAGACGTGGAAAAAAATTAACACCACTTGACCTGCAGCGGTAAAGCACTTCTGAAGACTTCATTGGGTGGATATTTGGGCGGGGCAGAATATATTCGTCTCCCCCCTGATTGGATGCAAATATGTCGTTTCCGCTGGGGGCTACAGTTTAAATAGCCAATCGGGCACGAAGTTACAGTGTGTGGGAAAAGTGAGTTTTCCTTCTTTTGTCAGCAGCTGGGAGACAGACATCACCCTGCTTTTTGCACGACACACGCGATGGATAAGCTGAGTAGCTGACGGTCTCCTTTCGCCTCCTCTTCCACTCTTTCCTCCGTCGTCGCGCTCGTCCGCCGCGGGTTTATCGGCGGCTTCCAGCAGTTTTGCGCTTACGATCTGATTTCAGAGATGAAGTTTGTCATCGGCATCGGCGGGTGAGTCGCAGTGAATGGGCTCGTAATTAAATTTGGGGTACAATTACTAGCCCGTTGCATGAGACAGCAGATTTAATGTGTATGTGTGGCATTAACGGTATATGCAGACTTATGCACTTTTCTGAATTTCCCATCTGATGCTGCGCAATTTCATACTCGGCATTTACTGCGCAGGAGCGGATTTAAGCAATATGAGTGTAAAGTAAAATGTCTTCCTGTACTTAACGTAGTATGTCCCTTTTTGCCTCACAGGGTAACAAACGGGGGTAAAACTACCCTTACTAACAAGTTAATGAAAAACTTGCCCAACTGCTGTGTCGTTCATCAAGACGACTTTTTCAAGGTGAGTTCTTACCAACTGCTGGTTCTCCCGATCAACTTAACCACAATTTAACCACATAAATAAAATACGGATGAAATGAGCACACAAATTTATATTAGCTTTTTTATATTAGTTTTTAAAAAAATCTAACTCCCCTATTCACAATGCCGTAATAGCTTTTTACTCATTCGACCATATTTCTATGTTCGTACTTTGCCCATTTTGGTTATTAGACGTCATTTACAATTTATATCAGAAGTTTTTTTTTTTTTTTTTTTTTTGCTGTAGCACATTGCAGTGTGTTGCATCCAATGCAGTCGGATATTTTAAACCTCATTCCTCTTTATCTGGATCGCGTTATCATTTTGGGCTGGAAGGCTAAAACCTGCCTGTTTAGTTGCACAGAACAATCTTCAGGGCGTTTGCCTTTTAGATTGTACAGGAGTATCTCATCCGTGTATGTTTCAGCCCCAAGATCAGATTGAAGTGGGTGAAGATGGCTTTAAGCAGTATGATGGTAAGCTGGCCTCTCTTCAGAGGGGGTTTTGCCCGCACGCCCGTGTGTATGAGTGACACGGGCACCTCGATGCATTTGCATGTCCCACATGCAGGACGCCTGCTGAAAATCTGTCCATGTTCCTTTCTCATTCTTCTGTTCCTCCCCCAGTGATCACCTCTCTGGACATGGAGGCAATGATGAGCACCATCCACGCCTGGCTCGAGAACCCGTCGAAATTCGAGAGGTCACATGGCGTCGGCAGCACTTCAGAACGGGAGAGGACCCTGCAGACGTGGGACGTGGAGGTCCACATCCTTATTGTGGAGGGATTTCTGCTGTACACGCACGGGTAGGTTGTGGGCTCACTGCCCTGCTCTACTTTAGCATGGAGTTCAAGTCCCTGAGTGGTCTTTGTGTTTCCGCCCAGACCTTTGATCGACGTTTTTGACCAGTGCTACTTCGTTTACCTCCCGTACGAAGAGTGCAGGAGAAGGAGGGGGTGAGGTTATTAATAACATACTACAGAATATTCTAGTGACGTTAATCTGATTTTTAAACCTGTACATTTCTGGCATTTTTAGAGTGACTGTTTCTGCAAAGACTGGTGTTTTCCAATCTAGACCTTGGGGACCCACAGACAGTCCATGATTTTGCTCCCTGCTAGATGGTCCACATTTTTGCTCCCTGCCAGACTGTCCCAAGATTTTGAGAATCAAGAATGTTGACTGTCTGCGGGTCCTCAAGGACTGTATTGGGGAAACATTGCTGAAGCCTGTCAAACATGTGGTGAACAAAGGATATACCCGCTTTTAAGATCGCCAGCCAGGCTCAGCGTTGTTGGAATCTTAATCTATCTTCTTTCTGTAGGTCAAGGAAATACCTGGTGCCAGACCCACCAGGACTGTTTGATGGTCACGTTTGGCCCATGTATCTGAAACACAAGACCATCATGGAGGAGACTGGGGTTGATGTCGGTAAGACCCTGGTGTCCTGGTATACCTGGTTTGGATCGTGTACTATTTTAAATGTAGTCTAATTTTGAAATCTCGTCCTACAGTGCAGCTGGATGGGACCATGTCAAAACAGCAGCTGTATAACGCAGTCTTTGGAGAGATACAAAACGCTGTTGAAAAGCGACTGCAGTGAACAAGGGTGAGGTGTGTGTGTGTGTGTGTGTGTGTGAGAGACTGGGGGAGGGGAGATAAAGGATATTATCTATGTAATTCTGTTCAGTTACTGGTTACGCTCATAAAGCTATTGCTAAAAAATTCCTTATTGACTGCCTTTCCAAAGATATTTGCTCTATCAAACCTAAGTGACTTTTTTTCTTTTCTTTAGGTCACATGATCTGCTGAGGGAACATATTCTATGGACGGGAGAGATGGTGCTTTGCCTTAAGCTTTAAGTGGCAGCTGCTTATCATTAAGTCGGCTGAAACTTTTAATATTTATCTCATGTCATTTACTGGCTCAGTTTTATATCTGCCATATTTATTGCTTTGACACTTTGAAATGGTTTTTTATCTAGATTGACTTGTCAATAAACTCTGCCTCCTGCTCCAGTTTTGGATTTATTTTTATTATTCATTTCATTTAATGAACTGCTGAACGTTTCGGTCACTAGGTGTCAGCCCCTCCGGGAGCATGAGAGCAAAGGTTTCAGATTCTGACTTCATTTCTCTAGCAGCTGTTAGTTTGTAAATGTGTGTATTGGGCTGGGTGACGCGTGGGCACTTACCCATCACTCGGCTTGTTTTGACAGATGTGCTTAGGATTAAGCCATTGCTTTTTTTTGTTTTTCTCTTTTTTTTCCCCCCTCAACCTAAATGAAAACACAAATCATCTGGCCAATAAAACCAAGTGCGTGGGGGTATAGTGGTAGGAAAGACCACACCCAAATATTCCAGGGCAAACTGCTCATTTAGACTTTCTTTTATTAAATACTGACTCATTCGCTTCAGACTTGAGGTAAATTCCATTTCTCCATCCACCCCCAAGTTGCCCGTTCTGCCACCATGTGTTTGTATGTACTGTATGATTGGAGCATCCGGTCTTGTAGTCGCCATCCTCTGCCCTACAAAAGGTGGCCCTTTTTAAAGATGAAATGTTACTCATTTCTAAAGGGAAAACTTGCGTAGGTTGTATGTAATGGCATTGAAGGATGTGTTTTCTTCTAAATTCTGTGAGTGACACTTGAAGATCTGGCACTTTCTATTCCTTTGAATGTGCTGTAACATTTATATATTCATGGGAGTTTGATTTCCTTAATTTTATAGTCTATTGTTGTGGATAGTCAAACATGCCTATGAACCAATAAAGGAGTGCTAGCAGCCACCTAGCACTAGTACATGCAAAGCTGTTTAAAGCAGATCTTTATTTGTTTGTGTGGTCAATGGCCGATGGCCAGGTCTGCCCCCCCCCACCCCACAGTGCAAGGGGGCGATCACCCCAATTCTGTGCTGGGAGTTCCCTGGGGGCTTTTTGTCACATGCACACTTGCATGAATTTCAGGAAGATATTTATTTCATGCTTCATTGTATATTTAGTGACATTAATAAAACCTGGCTGTCATAATGTAAGAAAGATCCCCCGAAAAATAAAGGAAATTGCATATAGTGAACAGTGAGTTCATCTTAATGGTGAGTCTGCACTTTCAACATGCAGAAATTTGTAGTCAGATTTAAGTGACTCAAGGCTAAGGAGCGCAGTATTGCTGAAGCATCGTCCATCTGCAGCGACGTGATATGTTTCCAGTTAACAAGTCTGATATATAAATATATTCTCTTAGAGTACAAAATGTACAGAATCGAGGCAGAAAGGACACAGGTTTTTAAGATTAGCCATTATGCATGCCTGCGTTTTCACTCTCTCTCAAATGTCTGATCTTGTATGGGTTCCCCGGTTCTGTGACGTCCAGCCCGACTTACCTACTTTTACTCTTGGAGATGCTGAAGACTTCGGGCCCCATGAAAGCATATCATATTGGGCCCCCCAGTCCAGACCAATCCAGTAATTTTCCAATTTTTTTAAGCCCCCAGTCACTCAGGAGCCCTTGCAATCGTCCTGACTCACCGCCCCCCCCCCTCCCCTTACAGCACCCCTGTCTTGAGACTCACAGACTGAATATACTGCATGGAGTCATGTCTGCACACATCTAACCAGGGACATTACTCAAAGTGTCTCATTCATATATTTAGAAGATACTTTTTGTCCAAGGCAACATGCAAGGAAGGAAAATTGGGTCAGAAAGCAGAGTAAGCCAGCATCCATGGAGCAGGTAGGGTTAAGGGCCTTGCTCAAGTATTTGAGCCCATGACCTTCTGGATACAGGCTGAGAACCTCCCTAACCCACTGAGCTACACACTGCCCCATCTAGACATGTTCCTTCAACCAACATGTTCCTACAACTAACACTTAGCATGGTGACTATTTCTGCAACAGTAACTTCAAACAGGTTGTGGTGCAGACAAGTCTTGGGGCAAATGCCCCCATCTATGAATGATTCACTTACTGAGTATTAAGTGAAAGAGCCTTCCTTTGTGGTGGGTGTGTGAGACCAGTCCTGGTACTGCACCTCTTCTTGAGGGTTTCCATAGTGAAATGCGTTGGAGAAACTGCCCACAGCCTGCTGAATGGCACGGAGGCGTCACTTTTGGCCCCCAAACGTGTGGTAGACAGTGGGCACACATCTCGCTCAGGCCTCCTGTGGTTGAGCCAGATATAAAATAAACAACACAATAAATCTTTACACAAGACCTTTTTTTTCCCCATATGGTTACGGCGGGCGCGTTGGAGGGTCTCCACTGGAGATCCAGACAGCCTGCTGGGGAAAACAGCCTCTAATCCACTCAAACCACCAGCAGTCCTATGGCTACTGAGGTAAGACTTGAAATGAGGACAAAACATCTGTTTAAGAAAACAAAATTCCACCAACTACTTTCCTTCAGAAGTCAACAAAACAGTACCTTCCGCTCTGCCATATACATGCAAAACACAACCGCAAGGGCAGGCAAAAGTGGTTTAATTAAATTCTCCTTTTTCATTTAATGTGAAATGACATATCAAATTAAAGTATTTTTTTGTGTCCCCCATATATAAATCATATTTATATGACTTCCACAGCATGAAAATCAAACCAATGAAACTATGACAGCTTTTCTGTTGACAGAAAATACAATCAGTAATTGCGTGAGCCCATTTGGCTTAGTATTTGAAAACATTTTGTGTTTGACTATTTACTTCTTATTTGTGACCCCTCTTTGTTGTGAAGTAAAGATATTTTATATCATGTCCGGAAAATTAGTGGCTCAGTTACATGTCACTGATCAAAATGACGAGTTTTCAATGTATTTGGGTTATATGTTGATGAAATATTTCAGGTTCACTTCAGCTCTAAGGTTTGAGAAAAAAATGATGTTACAAGAATCGGTGGCCGGGGGACTGAAGCCATACTCTGAGCTGACTGTTTTTTATTGGAGAGTTCCTTCAGCTCTGAAGAGAGCCGAGGTCACCCTACTTGTCACCAGGGTGATTCATTGTTTACGACAGCCGTCTTCTTCCACCACTTGCTGCTAAATATCTGTGGAGTCGGTGGCTTGCTTTTCCCTCACAGCTGAAGCCATAAACGGGGAAGCAAATTTAAATGAGAACCATGAATCGTGGGGGCGGGGGGGGCGGAACAACACTGACCTCAAAAATCTCTGCTTCTGCAGTCCTGTCTGGCTTCTCAGATACTGCCTGTGCCCTCTGAACTCAAGTCTGCCTGTGTCTGAGGTTCGAGTTCAGCCTCCCACAAGGGTAATTTCTAAATCCAAAAGAACGTAAACCAGAAGTACAGTAAATGGCATTGGCTGGGAACCATTTCCTGTCTGTAGTAAGATTATAAATAGACAGTTTATAGAAAGCTGAGAAGGGAGGTAATGGAGGCCAATAATATTTTTCTTCAAAAAAGAGATTCAACCTACATTTTGTCAACAAAAATGCCAGGATTGTTTAATCTTCAACATTACAAATATGTGGTATGTGTAATGTCATATTATCTAGGACATGTAAGGATAAATATAGAATTCTAAAAAAACTGGAAAAATATTGATAAATATTTTGCAAAATGTGAAGCTTTTTAAAGAAAAATGTATATTCAGAGTAAATATTCAAAGACATTTCTCTTCTATGCCAACAGCTATGGTCCTGGGTACTTTTAGGATTTCAGTACTGCAACACCTTGATTGACAGACAATTAAATCTGATTTTTTTGTTTGAAGTTCTATGTTTATAGAGTGGAAACAACACTAATAAATGGAATAATGAAACATTTTAGAATTTCCTCTGAAATCTTGCATCACCAAATCGTATAAATTACTGCTTTATACAAGTTATACACATTCACAAAATAAAACAATCCTTTTCAAGTGATATTCATCAGTTTCACAGTGCTAGAAAATGCGAACTTGAATTTGAAAAATTTTTTAGGTCTCTGCTACCACCTAGTGTCAATTTGTCAAAACACAGATCAATGTTGAACTTACCACTGCTAATGCTATCTGCACACTGACCTAATATTTTATTATGTTCTTGTATTGCTTAGATTTGCATTTCCAGTATTTCTCTTATTGTTTAATTCCTTATGTACATCTGAGCTATATATAACGCACCATTTCAGGTTGACACAGTGATAATTTTGTTTTGCTTACACTATGAAGATCTTGATAACTTCTCAAAACATAATAAGCACATTCATGGAGGGCCACAGTTCCCCGCAGCTTAAATACAGCAAAGAAAACATGAGAGGAACCAAGATTCTAAGAAGCAGTCCTGACAGAGTGAGTCTTTTAAGCATGGACACTCGGTGTAAGACAAAATATATGGGAAATGTATTGTTAGTTAAATATACACAGCATACAAAACACTAGGACAGTATTTAAATATTGAAGACACAGTCCACAAAAGGATCAACATACAGTTTTCAGTCTGTTTATTGGGAATATTGCAGTTGAACTTATTTTAGGTGAATATTTATCTGATTCATTTGAACATTTTTTGAGCAGAAATTGTAGCATACACTCGCTTAGAATAAGACATTCCACTGCATTCCATTTTTCTACAAATGCATTATTGTCTGCGCTTGTCTTAGTTGTGAGTAAAGCAATGATTACCAATTACTGTATGATGATCTGTCAAATATGTAACGTTGTTTTGTAATGTCAAAACATAATCAAGCAGGCGTTTACGGAAGTCGGTGCATTGCACAGCGTTCGCGGACGTCAGTGCATCGCGCATGCGCTCGCCTATCGGCTAGGCAGTAAGTAGTGACGTATACAGATCAAATAGTGACGTACACGCAAAACCAGTGTGCGCATGCGTTCGCAGATCGGGCAGCCACAGCGTGCCCTGGAATGTATCGGCCTACGAGAGCGACGTCATGTGATCACACCAGCATCATGTAACTGATTGTGTACAGTCGTAAAAATATGTTTTATTAGTCTCAACGTATAGCTGGTAAGATACAATAATAGTAATAGTAGATAGTATCTATTACTAAAACGACTGGTGATTCGGAATCTGGTGTTTTATTTAAATAATTTACAAATAAGGCATATTTATTCTTTCGTTTTCATTTTCTGAAACAGGAATGTCAATGTGCAAGTCGTGCAATGCTGGATTCGGGCGCTGTGCTGCTTCGGCTGGTTTATTATATGATGGCTGCTTTGCATTCGCTGCACTTTTGAGCCGCTTTGATATCGAATAATTGAAAAAGGAGCGAATCGGTGTCCGCTAAAATTTTTTGTATTTCCTGTCGACCTCAGTCCGCACTTACGCCATTGCCTGTAGGCAGCCAGCTAATCGGGTTGCTGGTGTCAACAGGGCAGCTCGGTACCTTCGTCTCGTTAAGAGTAACTGGACAACTGCGGAATGGCGAACGAACACGGGTAGCTAGCTGGTTTTCCCCCTGTAATCGGAGAGTGGATGTGAGTACTTTGACGCTTTAACATTCATCTGCAGCCTGTATTTAAATATATTGTGTTGTTGAAACGTTTGTTTAGGAGGTGGCTTGGATATTTGCACTTAATGTAGATCTTTTTTCATACCTACCGATTTGACAGGCGTTTTTGTGAGTTAGTTAATAATTACTGGACTTGTTACCGTAATAAATTGTCACTTATTAGTTCCTGCTGAGTGGTGCTGAAAGAAATCGGCTGCTTGCTTAATGATTTAGTCTGTGATCGATAGTGCCATGACCGATTTGTATAAATAACAGGCAGCAGAGACACGTCTGAAGTATACATAACTGTCTTTTTTTTTGTTCCTCTAGGATTCCACTAACTCGTAAGCCATTTTAAAGGGAGTGCAACGTTTTGTTACAGTATTCAAAACCCAACATATATGACAGCCATCTGTCAGGGGAAGCAAAGTGTTTGACTCATACTTTCAGGTGTGCTAGAGGTGTGAAGTCATGGCAGGTGCAAATTTTCTGGGAAAGATGAAGACCTTCTTTAAGAAGGAGCCCACTGAATGGGATCTTAGCGACACGGCTAGTTTTGATTTCTCCCATGACCGGACTGAGGATGATGACGAGGACACCCCCACATTTAAAAAACTGAAAGTTGTCATTTCTGGGGAGCCGGATTGCCCAGCGGGGCCCCACACCAATGGGTCACTGGTAAACACGGTGGTGGATGATGACGAGTCGCTCTTGGATTCATCGTCCCTCGGCAGCGGTCCAGGGGTCATCTTGGACCCCTGCGCGAACTGCACAAAGAGGAAAGAGAAGGGGAAGCGGAGCAGGGTGATGAAGAAGCTGGGCTGTGCCGCCTTGCTCTATTTCCTTTTTATGATAGGCGAGCTCATAGGTAAGGGAAGCCGTTCAAGTTCCGGCATGCTGCAAGTAAAGCATTATGTTGTGGAATATATGAACGAAGCATTCTGAAAATGAAATTGTTAAGCTGAGTGATAATTAGCACATTCATATCAAATAAAAGAGTGAAGGTTTTAACACTGGGCAGTGTTAATACTTGTGTTGCAGTATTACACTGAGTTAATTGGACCAAGGGATAGATTAAATCGCAAACATTCTTGTGTAGCTGTCTGTCTTAGACTGTAATAAATAGCTGGCATGTTATTTTTTAGGAATGTTGCTATTAATATGCACACATAACTTCCACTGTAGGAAAATGTACCTGACAACAAACACATAACGTCTGGTGTTGGGCTGGACAGTCAGATCTCCAGAATCTGTACTTTTGGGATATGATGTAATCTCACTCTTCACTCTGTATCTGTGGTTGATGTAGCAGATATTTAAGTCTGAGGAATCTGGCAAAACTGCTTTTTAGGAAGATAGTTGGTGCTTTTGCTTCTGTAAGAGGTAAGCGATATTTGTGCGTAGTTTAGATTTTGTTAGTAGTGTTTCGTCTATCAGATACGACATTTGTAAACAAAATGTAAATGTGTGTTATGATTTTCTGCCACGTTTGAACTAATTTCATCGTCTCTCTGTCTTTAAGGTGGCTATGTCGCCAATAGCCTAGCGATCATGACCGATGCGTTGCACATGCTGACGGATCTTGTTGGTATTGTTGTGTCCCTGCTTGCACTCTGGTTGTCTTCAAAACCCCCAACCAAAAGGTTCACCTTCGGATTGCACCGTCTTGGTAAGACACCAAGGTCACCATATCTTAAAAAGGACATTGCGGCCTTAGAAAAGGTGCAGCGTAGGGCCACAAGAATGATTCCTGGTCTTAGAGGAATGTCTTATGAGGAGAGTTTAGCTGAGCTAAATCTGTTCAGCCTCAAGCAAAGGAGACTGAGGGGGGACATGATCCAGGTCTATAAGATTCTAACAGGTTTGGATGCTGTTCAACCGAATAGTTACTTCAGCATTAGTTCAAATACAAGAACTCGCGGCCAAAGGTGGAAATTAGCGGGAGAACATTTCAAACTGGATTTAAGGAAGCACTTCTTTACACAGCGTGTAGTCAGAGTATGGAATAGTCTTCCTGATAACATAGTGCAAGCTGAATCCTTGGGTTCCTTTAAATCAGAGCTAGATAAGATTTTAACAACTCTGAGCTATTAGTTAAGTTCTCCCCAAGCGAGCTCGATGGGCCGAATGGCCTCCTCTCGTTTGTATAGTTCTTATGTTCTTATGACAGTCACTCGACTGGTTTGACATTCGGTGATGTTTCGGGAAGTACCCTCACTCAGTGAGGACTGTTTTTGTGAGTTGCAGGGAAGAGCACGAATGAACTTCTCGCATGGTTGTGATTGTAAGCGTGCTGTGTCAGATCTTGTTCTCCTTTCTGGGGAATAATGAATGACACATTGTCTGAGGTTCAGAGCGTGAAGTAGCATGGGACTTTCCGCAGGGATATCCCATAATCACAGGTTGTCATTGTATTTTCCCAGCTGTCAGAGGCACATAGTTTTGTTGTCTTTTTTTTTTGGCAGTCAGTACGTTGCTGTATCGCTTAAGCCTTCTTTTAACTTGCTTTAATGGACTCTTAAGTACGCCTTCCTCTGTGGGGACGTTAATTGTTGTCATAGAATGTGATGTACACGTTTGATGGCCTGAGAATACTGGAGTATACTCCCTACTCATTAATGGCATTCTTCATTTCATTTTACAGAGGTGGTCTCTGCTGCCATCAGCGTGCTGCTGATATATATCCTGACCGCTGTGCTCCTGAATGAGGCTGTCCAGAGGACCATCCATCAGGACTTTGACATCGATGGGGATGTCATGCTCATTACCGCAGCAGTCGGTGTGGCCGTCAACCTAATGTGAGCGGATTGTGCTGCAGCGTATCCACACTTGCTCAGGGCGAGGCTCAATGTTCACCCTGCTATGTTAGCTTTAAAGCTCCCGGTTGGATTGATTAAAGCTGTGAAGCCCTTTTCCTTCTCTTGGAGAATCGGCCTGTACAGGAGACAGCCTGATGTGCCGATGTGTCTGAGCCTATCAAATTAGGTTCAGCCACTGAGCACAAATTGTGTTCCTATTATGGGCACCAGGTGGCATAATGGTTAAGGACTTGGGCTCATAGTCTGAGATTGCTCATTCAAGTCAGCTGTAGTCTTTGTATTGGTGTTTAATCTGAATTGTTCCTGATTAATAATTGATATGTATTGGTTAATAGATGCAACCTATGACTGAAGTTTTTTTTATTATATTAAGAAAATGTATGTAAAAATAAATTTCAGTCAGCCATATGCCCATGGATGTGGTACCTGTAGTGACTGACAAAATGACACTTCATGAACCATTTACTGTATTTTTTGATCCCACTAGATGGCGCTCTTGGTTTGCTTTGGGCATGTCTCCTGCCATTTTTTTAAACATAGAGCACCATGGAGTCAAAAAATACAGCAAATGGTTCATAAAATCTCATTTTGTCCATCACTACTACCTAGTGTGCGCTGCATGACGTACGAAAGTTGTTGCAGAAAAGTTCTGTATCGTATGTCAGACTGACCATCCCAGCCCTATCCCTCTATTTCATTTTCACACCTAAAAGTCAGTGTGACTTTATGACATACGTCCATTTCCATGAATGACCCGTATGTCTGGATGGAACCCAGTTGTAAGTCAGGGACTGTAAAGGTAATTTGAATGTTTGTATGATCACTATGCTGCCTGGTATCTCCTCGACGGCCCGGAGCAGGACCGGCCCGCCCTATTGGGCACCATTTGATTAGGGAGAGCAAAAGAGTGAGTGAACAAAAAAAAAAAAAGAAATACTTATGTTTGCATTCTGTGACATTACAATTATTTGCACTAGGTTTGATATTTCACTACTTTCCTTGTTAGAAGCCTGATAACTTGTGCTACTGAAATGTGTTTTATGTAAATTAATTGATCAAATTGGTGTTTGGCTGCTCTGGACCCTGGAGCAGTGAGACGCGAGTGTGGCGTGGCTGCTGTGGCGTTACGGTCTTGTTTTTCCTCTTGGTTTGAGCAGAATGGGCTTCCTGTTGAACCAGTCAGGCCATGTTCACTCCCATGCTCACCATCAGGCCTCGGGGCAGACAGCGCACAGCCACGGGAGCCTGGCGGTCAGGGCGGCTTTCGTGCACGCCCTCGGGGACCTGGTGCAGAGTGTCGGCGTGCTCGTGGCAGCATACGTTGTGCGCTTCAAGGTACAGTGAGCGGCTCCTGCTGCCGGCGATTGCACTGGTGCTCTGCATCACGGGCATTTAGCTATTCTAGGGAACAAAAAACAAAGAAAAAAATGAAGTAAAAAAAAATACCTCCATCGGTAATGGATCTTTTCATCCAGAGCCTATGGGTCAGGCCCAGGAAGCATAGGTGTAAGATGACCATCTCCGGAGTCACACTGATAGGCACATTGCATCATCCACCCCTCCGTTTTCCGCCGCAGTACTGTGGGGGGGGGTCCAGAGGCTGTACCAGGCGGGAACATCAGGGTAGGAATTCAAAACCCAAAACCCGGAGGTGGGAAGCAGCAGTGTCACAGCAACACAGCAGCACTAACACAGTCATTCTTAGGTGGAAGCGGCACCTGTGATGGTGGAAAGTTCAGCTGTGCCATTCAGCTTTTCTCCTGAGTTAATTTCGTAGACGTGACCATCTCCTGTTTGCCCACATTCTTAATAAAGAGTTAATTTTGCCTGTGTCAAAAAACCAATATGAAAGAAGTAATTGAATAATATGATGCCGCTTGTCTAGCTGAGTTAAAAAATAATCACGAGTCGCTACTGATTCTACAGTTTCCCATTATGAGTATTTAATATATTTGCAATTTTTTTTATACATTCTAGAATCTTTGCTTTGGTTGATACCTCCCAGAAAGAGCTACAATTACAAAGAGACATGGACATTTTAAATGTGTATAATTATACATACACATACATTTACGGTTAACATAAATGCAAATGTCATGGAAAAGACTTCTTACATAAAGTCATTTCCCAAGATTTTAACATTATTGTCAATTTTTTTTTTATAATTTTGAGTACCCAGTCAAATGCCACATTTGTATGAGAGTTTTAACTTCTATATCTGTCGGTGATTATCATCCGCTCAGTGGTTAGCTGAAATTGTAGCGTATAAGTGGAAATTGCCATAACTCAAAATACAAGGGAGGACAAAATAAGGTCTTATCCCAGCTATCCAGGAAGTTTGGTGTGATCTGTGGGTAGAACCTTGTCACGTGAAGCTTCCGCTGTATTTTTAGTCAGCTTATGTCACATTGGAGCTGCTTGGGTGCTCAGAGAGGCCAGGAATTGTGCTTCCGGTGGTTGTTATGTAGCCTGTAGAATGTGCCCGGACTCAGAGTGCCCTCTAGTGGTTGATTGTCATGAGCTACATTATAGCATCCTGTGACCTGCCAGTGGTAAGTGGACATGTAGCAGATGCGTCCAGGGTATCCTGTGGTATTTTTGGAGGGGAGTTAAGAATACAGGCCGTGGGGCGTCCCTGGGGGGTGGGGGGGGAGGGGGGATTAGGCTGTTGTGGCAGTTGTAATCCCCCACCTAGAATCCGGCATGGAAATAGTCTGTTACTGTAGGTATTACTGCTTTTGTCATGAGCTGAATTCCATTGTGCCTAAATTCTTCTCTATATAAACTATATCACCCTCCCCCTGGCCCCCCCACCAGTGCCACCAGCACACTTTTCATTTCCAAAGTACCGGCGCGGGGGCTCGCTGTGTTGTTGTGCTGCCTCACTCCCGGAGAATATGGTTAGATGCAATTCCAAAGCAGTCATTAGTCATTAGTTCAGAGCTATGGCCTGGTACAGACTTTTCGTTGCCATTTTTAGCTGCTATTCTCATTTTAAGAATGTTACCTAAGAATGTTTTTCTAAGCTTAGTGTTGTCATGGACACACGTTCATTATTAATATGATGTGTCAGACTGGTGGGTTGTTTCTGGACACACTGACTTCGAAACACAACATAATTTTTAGGTTTTCGTGTTACTTTTCATTTATTTTTGTTAAAAAAGAAAAAAAAAACAACAGTTTAAAAAAAAACATAATAGGACTTTAAAACATGTATAACTTGTGCAATTCTTAAGTTGAACAATTTCATCTGAATGTATAGTTTTATTGCACATTACATTATTTCATTTGTATATTAGCACATTACTTCAAAAATGACGCATAGATCTAGTCTGATGTTTAGCGATTTGTGCTCAGAAAAGGGTTACTGGTGTTAAAAATGTTGTTCTTGGATTAACAAATATGCGCTTCTGATTATTTAAATTATTATTAAAAATTCTTTCCGACTTAAGCCACAAGTGTCAGTTTTAAAAACATTTTTCTTGGTTTTCCAGCCTGAATACAAGATTGCAGACCCGATTTGCACATATATCTTCTCAGTGCTTGTCCTGTTTACCACAGTAAAAATAGTAAGAGACACTGGGATCATTGTACTTGAAGGTAAGCTGTTTGTTTCGTAATGCTGACTTCAGGTGTTTACATGATGACGCGTCTCACGCGCTGCACGTTTCACCACAACTTCAGGGGTTCCCCGGCATTTGGATGTGACGCGAATCAGAGAAGACCTGCTGAAACTGGAGGAGGTGCATTCTGTGGAGGATCTGAACGTGTGGGCTTTGGCGCCGGACAAGACGGCCGCGCTGGTCCACTTGTCCCTGGGTAAGTGTGGCGCGGAGCTGGTGCTTCCGGGGCATCGGCTGACAGGTGGGCAGAGGTGCCATGGGCCGGCGGCACTGGCTGAACCTCAGCTGCCAAGTGCTGCATCCCTAGGGGTCATCGGCCGCGGTGTGGAAATTTCCGGAGCCATGCATGTTTTGCTCACCTTGAGCTGTTAATTGCTTTGTGAGGTATTTATTTGGATGACGTGAGACCTCACCCAGTGTTTCTGGTGTCATTCGGGAGCTAATTAAATGCCTCCCTGATACCCACAGGCCACTCGATGCCAGATACGATGCCAAGGCCTTGAGCTTAAGGGTTTTCAGAAGCTGGTTTTGCACTTGCTTGTACTTGTCGTCGGGTTAACATCTGCGGATGTGCTGGAAGCGACCTCCCCCCACCCCCTACTGTCAGCTAAAGGCGTTCACTTTTCTCCCTCCCCGGCCCCGTCCACAGTACCCTCCAGCAGTAGCGACTGGGAGGAAGTTCAAGCGAAGGCGCGGCACCTGCTCGCCAGCACGTACGGGATCTCCAAGTCCACCATCCAGCTGCAGCGCTACAGGGAGACGTCACCCGTCACATGCGTCAGCTGTCAGCTGACCTGAGCGCATGGGAACTCTACCGGACCTGTCCACCCGCCCCCCCTGTTCCTTTGTTCTGCAGGTTAAACTCAACGTGATTTATAAAGCGCACAAGATGCAGTAGTTGTACTAATGGGATTGCCAAAGGACTTTGTTTTAATGTTAATTAATGCACATTCTAACAGGATTTCCCTGGTCTTTAAAATCGAATGTGTGCATTTTTGAACACACTGACATACGACAGCTTGAATGCCTGTAAAGTCTGCACAAACATACAGCTTAGAGTTTCTCTGTTTTTTTGGACACAGTCAAAAGCAGTATTTGTTGAACATGCCAGAAAATATTAAATGAGGATGGTGATTTCTTGTCAGACTCTTTTAAAGACTGATTTCCAGCTATGTTTCCATGCTCTGAGACGTTTCACTATCCCTGGTATGGATGGGTTTCTCGGTGACGATGCCCAGGTCCGGGTGGGTTTTTCTCGGTGACGATGCCCAGGTCCGGGTGGGTTTTTCTCGGTGACGATGCCCAGGTCCGGGTGGGTTTTTCTCGGTGACGATGCCCAGGTCCATCCCCATGTCGGATCCCTTTTGAGTTCGGCCAGCTTGTTGTCAGGAGGAATGACACGTGTGTCTGCTTATGTTTAATATTTTTGAATAACATGAACAGTATATTTGCAATAAAATTTATGGTGTAGGATAGAAATAGCTGTGGATGAGCTTCCGCCTTCCAGCACGGTGCTCAAAACGCAGATTTACCACAGCTCTCCACTGAAGGAGATAGCATACAGTTTTACTCACTCAACATTCAAAATATAAATTTTAAAAAACTGCTGTATGAAAACTTCCTGGACGATACATCCGTAAGCACTTATGCACTCTAGAAACAAACAGCAATGTCGATGCACCAAGCAGTGATGTATAACATTTTGAGATACTCCGCAGTGTTGTATGTAACAGGTTGGTAAATCTGAGTATGCAGTTAAATAAATGAAAACATATGTAGAAAACTTGTCATCCTAACCATTGTGAAGACTGGATCATTTTCTTTTTGCAAACTTAAACGTTTTACTTAATTATCTACCATAAGAATCGAAATGAGGCCTGTTTGAGATGTTTCATAATGCAGTTTGAATGTTAGTACTTTAAAATTTATGCCTATTCTAAGAAATATACATGTTGACATTTGCGTCATTCTGCCTTTTTTTGCATAGATACAACTTACCGCTGAGCATAGAAATGACGACTGTGATAAGTAATTTGAAATAAATGGTATTTTTTTTCCCAAATTTTGTTTAGTCATTTTTACAGGGCTTTGAACATCTGCCTTCATTTCCCCAACTGGAAACTTAAAACTCATATTCCCTGTTTACAAAATTCCAGTTAAAAATTACACGGATACTAATCTGTCAGTAGATGGCGCCAAGTGCTTGTAAACGAAGGTGTACATACTGTACTAACTTGTTGTACTGCCATAAGTGTATTTGAAGAGACTTATTTTTTGCAGTAGACTAATTGAAGTTGAGTAAATTTGCTGTTAAATTATGTTGATCTCATGTTTAAAAGTTTATTTAAATGGCAAGTTTTCTATCCTCAATTTTAAGCATACACACAATTAAACACCAGATTTTAAGACCATCCACATAAAGAATTCTCTTTACTTTTAGGTTGTAGTCACGCATTCAGAGAAGTCATGTGATGTGCTAGAAGGCATCATTTTTTTGGCAGTGGTTTCTAAACAAACCCGTACAGGCTTTTCATCTCGTGCCTTCCTTCCTTACGATCACCAGGCCAGAACAGGCTCCTCCCTCCTGCCTTAAACAATAGTTACAATGAGTTACTTTCGACTGCAGATGAACCTGAAGTGACAATCATATCATGAGGCGGTTCGGGACTGTTTAGTTTCCGGAAATGTGAGGCAAAAGTCCATCAATGAATCTTGCTTTTATTTTAAAGGATGGTGGTAATATGGTGCCTCAGTGTCATCATTACCATGCACCTTCAGGGCTGGAGATTTGAGTCCCGTATTAGACTCATATCATAATTACCATGTAACTTACCTCCGTGTGCTTTTAACTTTCCCATTTAGATAGTCATGATTTGCATAGTAATCTTGACAGTTGTGTGGCACTGTAACTGTAAGTGAGTAGCTCTGATGGTTTACACCTCGAGCTTTTGCAGTGTTTATACTCTCCCCAGGTCATTTCTCTTAATTCATCAGAAAGTGTGTCTGATTGCCCCAGCCTTGTGCACTATGCTGTCTTTCACACACTAAATACTACATGGAATATTTTTTTTTTTACTGCTACCATGCAAACAAGTGCACATCATTAGAATCAATACACCCATGTTTCAGCTGTTCACTCTGGTCTTTCTAGTGTGGTTCATGATATTCAGCTGCCATTGTCAACTGCTGCCAGAGAGACAAGCTGTGGCAAATAGCTGCATAGATTCAGAGTCACAGTAGATCCTGGACGGCCACAACCCTGAGAAACCCCTGGTGACAGTCAGGCTTAAACGTTAGACGCACCAGAATGTCACATTCTTAAAATTCGGATATAATTTACAAAAAAATACTATACTAGGCCATAGATCAGAACTAATGACTAATGAGATTTCTGTCTATTCATCTTCCAACCGCATAACCTGGTCAGGGCACTGAGGGGCCATGAACGTCCATCACAGGGCACACGTACTGTACACACACGACAGGCAATTTAAAGCAGTCAGTTAGCCTAACTGCATGAAATAATAGCTTTCTTGTGCTAGGTGACATATTAGCACCCTAAGTGAGAATTATGATGATGTGATTCTGGAAAAAATGCTCTTTATTGAGTTATTGGACACTTCCTTGCTTTAGGGAACAAAGATATAAAAATTAGCAACTTAAAAATATCTGATTTCAAGTCCTTGTTTAGTAGTTGATTATAAAACAGCGGTTTGTTACTCCTTGTTCACAAAATTATTTACAGGGTGTGTCTATAACCAATTTTCTCTGACAGGCAGTTATTGTCAGATTTTGACCTAGGAAATCCTGCATTTTCAACATCAGAATAGAAATAGCTTAAACACATTGTAACTGTATGTGCTGTTTATGTGGCCTTGCTGCTGATGAGGAAGTGGGTGTGCGGGTTGCGACTTCCAGCCTGTGTCTGGTCACATGACTCAGAATGTGTGTCTATGAAAGTGCTGTGCTACTTTAGCCAGTCACGTAGGCAGCGTGGAAAAAGGTTTACATTTCATTTTCATCTGTTCAGTGTCAGAAGCGCTCAGTACATAAAACTGCTGTTTCCATGGACATAAGCAAAGTGCCTCTCACCATGTTTATATTTGGTTAAAAAAAAGAATCAGTTTTCAAAACCACATACGTTTAGACTTTGTTTTCATTCTCTAAGGTGTATCAGCACTGACATTTTCAGGATTTCAGGTGAATAAACCAGAAACAACACACAACCTATGTTCATCTTTACTTATTACTTTACTTTAAAGAGTTTCTATTGAACCTCCAAAATACCTGCTTGTCTTGTTTATACTACAGAAGTGGGGGTAAAAACTGACTTCCTGGACATATTAAAACATAAAAGGTCTATGATCATATGAATTGGATAATCCATAACAAACTGCCATGCTGGGAATTTAAATTAATCCTTTAAATAGAAGTTAAACACTCTATATGGACTAAAGTATTGGGATACCTGTCCATTACACTTACAAGAACCATTATTCTAAATCCATAGGCATCAGTATGGAGCTGGTCTCCCCTTTGCAGCTATAACAGCTGCCACTCTTCTGGGAAGGCTTTCCACAAGATTTTGGGGTGTGTCTGATCTGTGGGAATTTTTGCCCATTCATCCAGAAGAGCATTTGTGAGGTCAGACACTGATGTTGGACATGAAGGCCTGGCTCACAATCTCTGTTCTAGCTCATGCCAAAGGTGTTCAGTGAGTTTGAGGTCTGGGCTCTGTTGGTATGCGTACCAAGACATTTTAGACAATTCTATGCATCCAGCTTTGTGAGAACAGTTTGGGGAAGGAATGTAAAGAGACATCAAGCTAGCAGAGAAATTCATGGAACAGATTGGTCCCAGGGTGTTTCATATATACAGAGGGAGTCTGATGGCCAGACGTGATTCGCCAGGGAGTCTGATGGCCAGATGTGATTCGCCAGCTCGTTTCGCCACTGGGAACCACACAAGAGAATTTGGTGTGACACTTCTCACATGGTGGAGGGAGCTCCAGGCATGGATGAACTGATCCAAGATGAACTGTGATGTCATGAAGACCACAATGCTGGGATGTTTTTTTTTTTTTATGGATTGAATGCATCAGCAGCACAGTGTAGGTTTCACTCCATGGTGGCACTGGAGATGGGAAATGAGACTGAAAAATCAGTTTGGATGAAAAAAAAAAAACAATTTTTCCTAAAGGTGTGTCAAGTGCTGCTTCTGTATCACTGCCCCAAGTCGTACAGGTTTTTCTTCTTGCAAAAAAATTTGCAGTCACTATTAGTCAGTGGAATTATAATTAATGTGTAGGATAGGAAGTGATCTAGCCTTTCTGAAAACCAAATAACACTGCTTTACAAGGCGCTTGTTTCCTTTATAATTTATGGTGTACCACATAGAGAAACAGACAATTTTGTTATAATTTTTGTAAAATATATAAAACACTGGTATTTTGCGTAACACTGGTTAACAGAAATCTGAGTATAAAACAACTAAGGATTGTCTTTTATGAATTTTTTTAATTATGAGTTAATAAATCCACTCAAATTTTGCTCTCACCCATAGTTTTTCAGTGATATCATTTTAAGGCTATATTGATAGTATATAATTGCTTATGAAGAATGTATGGGCATGTTTAAGAGTAATTTAGGAAAAAACATTTTATTTCTGAACATTTTTAGGATTTTAATGAAGAGTGCAAAGTACTGTAAGTGTGTTTTGCCAGAGTTTACAGGCTGTACAAGGCAGTAGCTAACATGTAGAGACAAGATCCTGCCCATCTGATAAGGAAAAATAATATCAAGGCCAGTGGAGTCCCAGAATGTTGGCTTATAAGTGTAATCGTACACTTATAAATTGTAAATAAGTCACTTGCAATATGCATATATATTGTAAATATACGTGTAGCATAAGGTATAATTGTGTCTCTCAAAATCCTAGCATGATAGGTAAATTCTGTTTAGATATTTGAATTCAGCACAAACAATACTGAAAGATTTTGATTTGTGAAACAGAAAGTAAAAATTTCTTGATCAGTTTAATAAAAAAGATAATATTTTAAATGATTATAGATTTTTCGTAGTACCAGTTGATGCTTTTACGCAAAATAACTCACAGTCTACTATACCTAAGCAGTCTGATGTTTCTCTAGAACAATTAAGGCTAGGATTCAACAGTAAGGCAACAGTGTCTCCCCTGGACCTCAAACCAACAACCCTCAGGCTCCAACAATAATGGCAACAGGTGACAACTTCATCAGCATGACACAGCAATTACTTATTGGTAATTCTTACAGCTCTGTAACAAATCAAACACACTAAATCTTAACTCCATAAACAAGAAAGTGAACGTTTCTTCACTGCATTTTATATGTACTTCTGTTTATGGTAATGGTAATTAACTGAGGCAAATCAGTTTAAGAATTGGTTCATATTCTCGTGTTATATTCTAGTTAAAAACAGTTCCTTGATAAAAGTGAACGGAAAAAATATGAGCATTACGATAATGAATTTGGACTGCATCCCATAAGCAGAAAGCACGTTCATTACTCTTGTGCATTAGAGTAATTGAAAGCGCAATGGAGAGTGATATTTTAATCTGTCTGGGAGAATCAAGCTACGGCACAGTAAAGGAGAATTATAATTGTACATAACAGATGGATGTTTGGCAGATATTACGACTCAGTTCCATCTCCCTGTCTTACGTACGGTGAAATTTATATGCATGACACAACTATGACTGGAATCTGGATCTATTCCACCGTTAAGATTTTGCCAAAAATGCAGTTTAATCACAATGAGGAGGACAATGAAGGGAGGCTGCCTCTAGACTGACACTAGCAGACACGCATTATATAGATCGTTAAGAGTGGTTTTGTTATTGCCTGAATATTGTTTAGTGACACATCTGTTGCAACAGAAAAAGAGGCAAAAATGTCAGGTAGAATAATTTATTTTACACCAATATTATCACATCATTTGTACAGTCATCTTAAATAAGTACAGGAGAAGGTGCACATGTGTCCCAGGGGCAAATCCTTTGTCCCTGTGACATTGCTAATCTAAGCTCCCTGCTTGTCCTGCTGAGCAGAACTGAGCACGTTCAGACCCCACCAATGCAGCAGAAGCATTTCCGCACACTGATTTTCTGAGCTTAGTCTGTGCAGAGATGATTCCGTTGGACTGATGGGGAGTTCAAATGGTGGCTGCAGCCCCGTGGCCCAAAGCCCAGTCTCACTTTGTCAAACTCTTCACCAGCTGCAGTTCCTCTACCGGCTTCCACTGCTGATTGATGGTGATCAGCTACGTAAAAACAGGAAGGGAGACCAGTCAGGACACCAAGCCCCTAGTGGAGGACCTACCCCTAAGCTACAATTCTGTATCCTTCTCTAGTACAGCAAAGTCATTCAAGGTCAGTACTTATCATCATGCTCATAGCATCACGTACAGACATTTTGAGCACACACTCATAAAGAAAACAAACCTGAAAAAACACTTCGCAAACAGGTGTTTAAACAGCCATTACGTCACCACATTTACCTTCTGAGGTTTGGAAGGATCCAGGTTCTCCCAGGGCTCTGGGTTATGTTTCTTGTTTATGCTGAAGAAAATTTGATTTAGTTATTTTTAAGGTCCGTTCGACTTTAAAAACCGAATGCCATTTTACTAAAAGTTACAATTATTTTACAAACGTGAAAATCATGCACAGACTGATATGGTTAATATATAAATGTACTCCGCAAGAACATTTTTTAATTTATGGAATAAATAATTAATTATAAAACACCACTGAATACAATCCAAGGTTGAATTGTCTAAAAAAGGTCTAAATCAAATGAGCTCTTACATTATATCTGGTTTTGTAAGTAAGAAGTAAATTGACGCGGTAGTGGCTCCGGCGGCTGCAAACGCCATACATCCAATCAGAGGGATCAACTAGGAAATAAATACATTCGATATAAATCAACATCAGCATCATCTCAACACATGCGCAACCTCTAATAAAACACGATTATGGCGGAAAACTAACCTCTTTCTTGTTTCTCAACATGGCAAAAAATCCAGACATTTTGCTCCAGTGATGTGCTACAATATTCCAGTGATGTCTTTAGGGGAGAGAAAAAAAGTTATTTTATTTAAAAAGTTAATGTCTGACAAGATGGATTTACTATAATTTAATTCATCTCAAAATAAATATAATAATACTTTGTATTAAATATAATTTTTTACGAAATACTTCTTGATTTTAACTATTAATCTTAAACAGCTCAGGTCCCTCTAGCCACTACTTGTACAACGTTCCTCACCTATGGCTGCGTCAGGTGGCTGTGGCTCTCGCTGCTTCCTGTTCGCGCCGCTTCCTCCTCGCGCGTGCTAATATACCGGGTACCCGGGGTGATACGAGAGCGACGGCACGTAGACAAGCTTCGCGCCGCATATCGAAACCTATCGGAAGAGACACATCCACTATTTCTAGTTAAGTCAGTCAATGATGAACTGGTCCAGAATCAACCTCGAGTTCCCTCTTCTGGCGACAAGGCACACTGCACGCGCACCAGCCGCTGCGCTTATTAGTTCCATGTTTAATCACTTTACAGAAGCCAGGCGCTACTGTTCGCTGTAGCAAACATTGATTAAAAAATTGATTTTTTAATCCTTCATTCATTTCCCAATTAAAACTGCAAAAAGAGTCCACCAAAAACAAGGTTTGTACAGTACCACCTGTCAGATATTTTATAGATTTTTGTCCAAGATTTCCTAAAGTTGCCATAAATGGTGACATAAAAGGGAATATATTTATCATTTTACGTAATTATAACGAACGATCCAATTACCGTGACTTAACCAAATATAAAAAATTATTCAAAATGTTTTATGCAAATTACATCAATGCAAAATATACTTCGACCTTTGGTCTCAGCGGTAAGAGTGCTGTATTATTTCATGAACACAAAGCCAACCAAATTATGCATACATGTATCATTTTGTTTACTCCAACAAACATTTCGACACACAGAATCATAAGAGATAAAATCTTTATTATTATTATTATTATAAGCATCTGAATACATCACAAATGTAAAAGGTAGTAAACAACACTCAACTCGTGAACAAATGTTTGTAATGATCTAGTTGCTGGGCATTTAGAGAAGGTTTCATGTTCTGGAATGATCTCTGAAAGTATTCATGCTTTATTTTGGGGGCATCCATGCCTTCGTATTGCAAGGTCATCAAAGCTGCCTAAAAACAACAAAAATACAAAAAATGAGACAAATGAGTTAAAAGAACGACTAACAGCTTTACATGAGCAAATATTTCAACCTCATCAACTAGGCGATTTCAGCTAGAACTGAACTTTATTGATTCCTCATACATAATATTAAAAAACAAATAAAGATGAAGAAAGCAGAGTGCTGATGGTACAAGTAAGGAAGAAACATGGAGGATGAATAATTTAGTGCAGGTGCAATTCAATACTGGTGAGTCAAAGGGTGCAGGGTCAGTGACCTCTAAACTGGGTAGAGACAGGAACATGGAGCCTGTAAACATCCAAAGCAAAGGTGACTGTGGAAGGTTCCGTGAGGCTTTTAAGCCCATGGTGAATGGGATTATCACGCAGGGACACCCTGCTTCCCCAGGGTCCCTTTGGGTTACACTGGCCTGCGACTGGCAGTGCAGGATAAACACAACTCTTTGGGCATCTGTACATCATTTCTCAGATCAGTAGTTGTACCCATCTGAAAAAATGACTCCTTTCTTTTTAACACTATACAAAGTGAAGCACCCCACAGGAAATATGCTTTTTGTAATTCTGCCCACTGATCCATATTCCAGTCCTATGTAATTCTTCTGGGTTACGAGGCCAAAAACAAAGATTTCTTTACCTCCTTGCAAAGGTTCTCCAGGTCAGCACCAGAAAATAAATGGGTTTGTTGAGCCAACTCTTCCAGAGACATGTCCGCCTCTAACGGCATCTTTTCCGTACAGATCTGCAGAATGGCTCGTCGTGCCTGTGAAATAAACCAAGATCAACATCAGGAACACCCTCCTTTGAAGCTGCAATCTGCTCGTATTAATCAACGAGCAGATACACTTTCAAAAGATGCGACATATTATTTGAACTGCCTACCTCCAGGTCAGGGGGTGGCACAAAAATGATCTTATCTAATCTGCCAGGTCGGAGCAGGGCAGTGTCCAAGACATCGGGTCTGTTTGAGGCAGCAACTATTATGACGTCCTTGTTGCAAACTTCATGGTAGTCCATCTGAAACGTTTACAAGGTTGTACAAAGGGGACGTCAGTTTTGAAGAATGCATTGAGCAGGACCATGCATTACAGAAGGTAAATATCAAGAAGCTATATTAGTGTGAAAGCATTCCTCTAACAGCACTCTGCAGAGGTGGTGGAAGTCACACAGTCACCTGCTGCTCTGGGCAGAGATCGATGGAGCCCTCTGGCAGACACAGCTGTCGCTCTGAGCCTCTCCTCTCCGCGGCCTTCAGCCCAACACCATCCATCTCATTCAGGAGCACAGAGAGCACCCTGGCCTGGACACTGTGACCTCTGCTGTCCTCTCGGGAACCAAAGAGGGTGTCAATTTCATCCAGAAACAGGATGGACGGGGCACAGGCTCTAGCTTGACGAAAAAGCTGTAGAGATATTAATTGTAGACATTACAGAGATATTACGCATTGTTCACATTAACAGTAACCTAAGAAATGTGAAAGTTAGCTACTACTTAATTAAATATGGTCGAAGATGCCCAGAAGGTCATCCGATGTCAGAGGTCAAAATTGTGAAGAGGAGCAGACCTGAGCCAGAATCTTTTCAGAATCGCCAACAAATGGGGAAAAGAGATCAGCGCCGCTGACAGACAGGAACGCGCAGTGGGTGGAGCTAGCCGCAGCCTTCACCAGTGTGGTCTTGGCACACCCTGGGGGGCCGTACAGCAGAATGCCCCGTGGACGTGACAGACCAAGTCGCACAAATGCCTCCGGAAACTTCATCGGCCATTCAATACTCTTCCAGAAGACAAGAGCATTCACATACGTAAGAATACAGTGCAACAATGTTAAACAAAGCTTAACCCATTGCACGGACACTAATCATTCAAAATTAATTTTTATTACCTAAACATTGTTTATTGATTAATTCATTTTTTTACCATATATATATTGTTTTAGCTTAAGGGGTTTCATGTAGAACATCCTGCTTCAATACCTGTTTCATTTTTAGTTTGACATCCTCCAGACCACCTATTTGGTCCCAGCTGAGAGGCTTAAACTCGGTCAGACCGATGCTGCTTCTCAGGCATGATGGCTGGACCTTTTTGAGGGCCTCCAGAAAGTGCTGCATGTCTATTGAATAACTGTCAGCGCCCTGCAGAGGAAGATCAGAGATCAGCAGCAGGGTATCGTCATATTAACAAGCAGCATGGCTCCCTCTCAACCCCTTGCATCTGTTAATGAGACTCGAGGTCTGTGTCCTCCTTGGCTTGCCTGGCAGTTTGTGTGGTACCTGGGAGCCCCGGAGAATGGCATGCAAAGCTGCTTCCCTGCAGAGGGTGCTCAAGTCGGCTCCAACGAAACCTGTGGTCATCTCTGCTAACGCGACCAAATCCACATTGCTGGACAGGGTCATTTTTGAGCTCAGCAACTCTAAAATAGATTTTCTCTGATGAAGTGTAGGCACACCAATGATGACCTAGGGAAATGAACAAAAAAACCCTATCGCGTCATAAAGTCATTCGTGAAAATGACAATATTTACAATGTTGCAACAAAACAAAACAAAAATATTTTCACCTCTCTGTCAAATCTGCCAGCTCTCCTCAAGGCAGGATCTAAAGCATCTGGTTGGTTAGTTGCCCCAATGACAACAAAATGATGATCTCTGCCAATGCCATCCATCAGAGTCAACAGCTGTGCCACAATTCTGTTCTCAGGCGCATTGCTTGAACTGGCCCTCTTTGGGCATAAGGAATCAATTTCATCAATGAAGAGAACACATGGACCTTCCGAAGAAGCCTCTTTAGCTTGGAGAAACACACCCCTTAAATTTTCTTCACTCTCTCCCGGCCTTGAACCAAGAATCACAGGCCCACTTATTGTGACCAAGGAAGCACCGACCTCTTGAACCACGCTCCTTACCAGCATGGTCTTCCCAACCCCTGGAGGTCCAATAAGTAACACATTTTTAGGATGGGAAAGGCCCAGCTTCTGCAATGTCCTTGGATAGAGAAGTGGTAAATTAAGAATTTCCTTAAGTGAAGCAAACACGTCCTCCATCCCTCCCAAACTGATGCTAGACATCCTGAATTGCTGACTTTTATATCTATTGTGAGTCTGTATCTCCTGTATGCTGATACTGGTTTTAGCAGTGATAAGACCACCTCCACTGGAGCTCAGATCTAAACACTCAATAACAACCAACTGAATTGGAGTTTCCAGATGACTCACGTTTACAATGTGCTTCTCCGACACATAAGTGCCTTTGAGGATGTCTTTAACTAGGTCGTGAATTAAATTGGGAGATAAGCTGTTCTTGAACCCCATCGTTTTAAGAACAGTTTTAATTATCACATTCTTCAGTTTCGGGCAAGTTAGCGCTGTCATTTGGCTTCGGCTAACAGAGAAGTTTCTGTAAGAAAGCGAGGTGAAGTCTGCTGTGGCACATTTACTGTCGAATTGCAAAAAACCCTCAGCAAGATCACTTCTTGGCCATGCCGTACACAAACAATCGAATCCTGGAGTCGTAATTAGAACAGGAGATCCAATCTTCAGCCCTAGATATGCCATCAACATCGGCCCCATTCTGCATCTTTGTGTGCCTATGTCACCTGGATCCAAAGGAAGAACCTTCAAACTGATGTCCTCCATGGAAATGGTTCACTGCATTAATTATGAAAAGAAAGAATTAGCCCCAAACCTAGTATTCTATAATCAAGATAATGCAAACCGATATGCGCGTTCATCTTTAAGCTATCCCTACTGACAACGTTTACATGTGTACTAATGTAAACAGCCATGCGTTTCTAGCAGGATTAACTGGCCAACCGTAAGCTTAACCTTGATTTGTTGTAAAATTTCACAATTGTATATTTATACTACAACATTGCAAGTCAATTAAGCACCATTTACGTTACATTTATTGCGATATTACTATTTAGGACCATAACGTTTCTACCGAAAAAGAAATATAATATAAAAAAAATAACTTGAAAACATAGAGTTATGGGCGGCCAACTTTTTATTTCCGATTGGTCCTTCACTTCTCGCGATGTCTAATTTTAACCCCATTCACATCTTCGTGTGGAAGGAGAAGTGGATGTGATTGTAATGAAGGTTACTGTGGAAAATATACTTCTTATCAAATTTCATAAAATGGCATTACTTTTTGTAACAGACAATCGAAATCGGAGCCCGTTTAATCAATGGAGCCTCATGTTTAAAAACGCATTCTAAAGACAGGCGAGATCCACTTACGGTCTCAGATGAGTATCATCACACCGCTATCCCCTTTTTGGCCGCAGTATGATTTAGGAATATCATCGGAACTACTTCATGACAACCAAAAAAGTTTAACAATATGAATAGTTAGGTAAATATGTAATTGTACTATGTGAATTTTAAACACGAACACAATTTCAGGCAAAGAAAATTACAAATTCGAAAATACGAAAACATCAGCCAAGTGACATGATTTATATTTTGTAAGCAAACAAGTACAGTAGGTGAGAGTACAATATGTTGAAGTTACCAAAGCGTCAGCTGCATGGCTAGATTAGCTGTACATACATTAACATCTGGACTCTCAGCTTTGTCAGTCTGTGAAAATAAGGCTACATTTCCGTGGTACTTTGGCGCCATCTAACGGCTACTAGTAGTGACGTGTTAGATACATAGATGATTAGATAGATTAGATTAGATTAGATAGCTAGATAGATAGATAGATAGATAGATAGATAGATAGATAGATAGATAGATAGATAGATATCAATAATCACAGAGGGAAATTCCAATTTCCAGCAGATTAATACCACAGTCGTACAAACAAAAGTCTGAAAAATATACAGAAGAATCTATAGAGTGTAGACTTACATTAAAAACAGAGCTACTGCCTATTCTAAAAGTGCTGCATAAATAGTATTGCAAGTAAATTAAAAAAATGAATAAATTCATAAATAAATAGAAAGATTAGTATGACCATACACTTATTGAGATGACTGACCCACAATGCATGATACTAGGAAAAAGTTAGGTAAGAATGAGATACTATTATGACCATGTACTTTGATGACAGAATCATAAGCTAAATAGGTAATAAAGAAGTAAATAAATGAATCCAGCTTTTGCCTCTATGCATTTACGCTTCCATCGGAACTCTCAAGGGAATTCCTCAGAAATCTTGGTACATATTATTAAAATGTTTGCAAATCATACTTAGAATCATTTCTTTATTTTACGTATATGTACTTAAGTAGGTTAAAAAAATAAAATACGTCTTTATTGTTACTGATGGACTGATGGGGGGTGGGGGTGGTGTTGGAAAATAATTGGGGTGGGGTGGGCTGGGCTGGGGGCCCAGTGTGATCTGCCTTCATGGGGTCCAAAACCATGGGGTTTGCCATTAGATTCATGTTTATTAATCATACTTATTTGTCCTTACTCCTGTACATATTGTCAAGGTTAAAACAGGGCTGGCAGAATTGCAAATTACTGATAGAATCTTTCACACATTCAATGCTGAGTGAAAGGTTATTGATTTTGGCATTTTGAGTGTACTGGGAGTTTTTGAAATTGGTGTATTGAGCTTTGTTTCAGCATTCTTTGCACAATAACCGTCTGATTGCTTTACTTTACTTTTCTATAAATAATCCCCCTCTCTCTCTAACCACTACCCCCCTAGGGCTTTTCATTGGGGGACACCCAGGTAGACTTCACTTTCTCCAAAAGTGCCAAACCCCATCAAGTGTGTGCATGTTGTAATCAGGGACTGGGAGCATCAATAAACCAGGTCATAGCTATAGAAACACGGTGGTGTTACAGTAAAGAGTTTAGGGGTTTGGAAGAGAATGTCAGGGCAGGAAACCGAAATGCTTCACACTTTCTTCTTAGCTGTTCTTTGTGCAGGGTGAAAGTATGTAAGTCGATTCCAGTGTGGTATCAAAACATGGTACTGACAACTAAAATTAATACTGAAACCAAATAAAAATTAAACTAAAACTAGAAAACAAAACGAAATCTATTTGTACGTTCTTAAAAGAAACAAACTGAAGTAAAACTGAAAAACAAAATGGAAAACTAAATAATAATAAAAAACCAAAGCAAATTTGAAAACTATAATAACCCTGATACACATGAGAAAATGTGATAAGATAATATACCGTCAAGGTCCTGCTATGTCTAGATCGCCTCTGTACTTGACAAAACAATAGTTGAATCCCCAGCTTATTCTTGTGTTTTCCTTCTTTTTAATGGATCCTTGAGGTTAGGTTGGATTACGTTGGGTTACATTTATTTAATATTAAAAGATAAAGTTGAAGATTGCCAATGATGCTACAATATAGTTTAGAATACTGATTTCCATTGTTATTCTTGCTGGTATGTAAACTCGTGTGTATGAAAACATGCATCTATTCCAACCATTCAAGTTCTCTGTTTTAGCCACACCCCCTTCAGAATGTTCAGATGCCAAGAGGGGCTAATTCAGTCTGAGCTGTGACCCGGACACCATACCAGTGTGAGGTAGGTAATACAACAGGTTTTCCATAAAGTCAGAAAGATTGAGTTTTACCAATGATGTATTACTAATGAATGTACATTGTTTTTATATACTAGTGTAATTGTGACAAGCTGTCACATATTTTAGTCTCGATGCCTAAATTAGTTGTCTAATGTAGCAGAGGTCCAAAAATATTTACCTAAGGAAACAATTTTAGGATAATTGGTACCGTTATCCTGCAAAAGGTGCTGCCTTTTTTGCCCCTGCCCTTGTCTTCAGTGCCACATTTTACTCACTCACATAATTATTAAATGCTTAACATCTTAAATAACTTCTTTAATAATTTCTGTAGTCTACTTGTTAAGGTACATAATAATTCAGTTGCCATTTGCTTCGTCTACTCTCTTATTCACTTTTTAGCAGATATTGAGCTTGTAATTTTTAGACCCACCATTAATAAGTGCGAAAACCGACCGCATGAATCCAGGATCTCGTTTAAACACTGAGCTGCACTATTATTGACGTTTTCATAGCGTCAGATATCGTTTAAGACATAGAAATCGAGAAGCTGCAGTGAGACTCACCATCGGATGTATATACATGAGTACACACAATGCAACTATGCACACGCCGCAACACTTTCAGTACTGAGATCTGAACGGAGAGAATGGAAACGGCCTATGACGCCAGTGAGATATTCTTAAGGAAACGTCTAGGCCATTGCTGAATGTAAAAATGTCACTTAGATAGAAAATTCATTTGCTGGTAAAAGGCATAACAAGATGGTTACTTATTCTGCTATTTCCGATATTGATTGTAATTGATATCATTAAATAATGATTATAAATAATGCGGTGTCGAGGTGATAATCCACAGAGTGAAAATGCTTTATATCATATGTTCTTATTTGTGTCTGTAACCATTTGAATGAATACATTTAGAGTTATTGATTTTTTTGCCAATCGCTTTAAGTGAAACGTTCCTGAAATAAAAAAAAACAACAATGCATAATAATATACATGTACTAAACCCATGTTTCTATGGCAACCAGGACATCTTAAAACTCATATAGAAGTTAAAGATTGGTGTCGTTGTGCAATTGCTCATGGGACGAATGCGAAATGCGTAGCACACAGCTCACCTCATTACATTCGCTTTCCTTTATGCTTCAGTTTTGATACCTGAACTTGAGCTTTGCTTATCGCTGATGAAAACAGCATGTGCATGTGTGCATATGTATGGTCCATAAACACTACAGGTGAAACCACAGCCTCATAGTTATCTCTATCCAAAGCTGCATGTCAAATTACAGGCAAAGACTGGTGCGTTTTGGCCACGGTGATAGCAGACATCATTAGATGCAGACAATAAACTAAGGCTCTCAGCTTTGATATATTGTCTGGTTCATCAAACTATGTTGCTGCGGCTAGCGGTTGCCATAGAAACCGTCTCCTCGCTATGTACACCCAAAAGCGGTCTTTGGCTGGGATGACTGGGCGTCACGGTTCGCCAGTCCGGGTGTTTTGAGGTATCTCAGACACTATAGGGTACTTTGTGTCCTTAAGTTGATAAAACTATCAGGTTGAGCACGTTTGATTGAATTAATGGCGAATTATATCGCGCCTTTGCTTATGAGACATAAGATATTTAACCAGGACAAATGTTGCAACAGATGTGATGTGAATAAACATAAAAGCGAGTGTCTCAGAAATGCAATTATCCCGTTAAAGTATCAAAATGAAACAATAAAGACAAAAGTAACTATCCAGACTATCAGCAAGAAATGAAATACGAGGAGGAGCCTTACGAACCACTTTCGCTTTAGTTTCGGAAAGACGCTAACGTACGATGTGAACCTCGCGCACGTCAACGCACGTGTTTATTGCATCGAAATTGTGCTTTTTTTTGCTGTGCCGGGTTTACTCCTCAAATATCAAGGTTGCTGCTGGTAAAGCACAGCCCATCGTGGGTGGAAACTGACCCGACGACTGATTGCGGCACAGTGATGGGTGAGGGAGTGCCGGGGCAAGGACGCCTTTTGCAGGGAAGCGGCGCCGTTGCGCTCCACTGCGGTCTGCTGCACCCGCGGCTGTAGGATGGGACGGACGTCCACCTTTCCCTCTAAATTTGTAAGTATCAAAATGCTGTGTTTTCACATCATCATCATCGATGGCGGCCCGATTGCGGCGAATTTCTCCCCACTTTGCAGTACAGCATTCGCATTTCTCCTGCTCCGCTACATTAACGATAAATCTTGTGCTGGCGGTGAATTGTGCAACCGCTAAAGAGAATTTCGCATGACTTTTTATATT